ATAAAAAAGAATGAAGTCTTGTCATCTACAGCAACATGCATGGACCTAAAGAGTATTGTGCTGCATGGAGTAAGTTGGACAGAGAAAGACAAATGCCGTATGATTTCACTTATATGTGGAACCTATAGAACAAAATAAGCAAACAAAAGAAAAACAAACTCATAGATATAGAGGGCATTTTGATCATTGCCAGATGGGAGGGCAATTGAGGGGATGGGTGAAAAAGGGGATGGGATTCAGAGTTATAAATTTGTAGTTTCAAAATATTCATGGGGATGTAAAGTACAGCATAAGGAATATAGTCAATAATCATATTGTAATACTATGTATGTTGTTATATGGGTACTAGTTTTATGGGGGTGATCATTTTCTAAGTTATGTAAATGTCTAATCACTATGTTGTACACCTGAAACAGCAAATTTATAAGCATATAACCTTTCATAGAATGGAAGAAATTTTTATTTAAATTTAAGCTCTCATGTTAATCACTGAGAAATCATCACAGATCATTGAATTCTCATTTTCTAAAGGGAAATTTAATTTAATCATTTTTCAGCTGCTTGTAGTAGTTTAGAAATGTCTGGAAAGAAAGCGCATCTACAAGATAAAGGCTTTTGTTTCTCTCACCAGTCCTTACTCTCTTTACCTTAAAAGCATTCCTTTCCCTAAAAAGATCAGTTACAAATTTCTATACTGTCCATAATTATGTTTACTCAGGTTCAATATTTTAAAATATACTCAAAGCTGAAACATCAGTTTACTGGAAAATCTTTTTTTAAGAAAAATAATTCCCTGAATATCAAGTTTCTTTTTGCTTCACTCTAGAGAACTCGGTCAACAAAAGAGCACTGATAATGGTTTCAGGCAGTGAATTTAAAGACTTTCCATATTTACTTACTTGTTTTTTCTCCTTGAGTACCCCTCCTCCTATGCTTTCAATTTGAGGAAGGGAAGAAAAAAGTTTCTGTCCTAATTACCCATATCAATTTTGTGGTGGTTTTACTATATCTGCTGCAATGAGGCGACTATATCTTGTTCTTTCTAGGACCAAAATGGACAGAGGATTAATGTGGCCACTCATTGCCCCTCTTTGCAACAGACAGAAATGGGATTTCTTTTTTTCCTTACTCTGTTTTTCTGCCATTTCTTTTGACCTTTTCTGGGCTGGCGTTTTTACCTCCCCCATTTTCTCGTGAAACTGTCAGGTTCTAGTTTTCCTAAACTGAGATGGTCATTGTGTTCCAAGCTGACACTGAAAGGAATGAATAGTCATTACAAAAACCATTTCTAATGTTATCTACCTGTAAGTGTGCTCCCCTGCCCCCCCGCCCCCACCCACCTTCTGCTGTCTTCCAGGAATTTAGCCCTCCAGTTTTGTTTTAAGAAGTCTTCCTCTTAAGTGGCAAAGAATGACTGAAGATTCAGAGTCCAGTTAAAATTTGCCACTGATTTGCTAAACTAACTTTTGTGAGTAAAGTTAACCATCAAAGAGAAAGATTAATATTACTGGAGGTTACAGCAAGGAGGTATTCCTTTTATATATAATCCCCCTAATTCTTACCCATTTTAGAAACAAACTACAGATGTGAAAGGGTCTTATTTTCCCTTTTCCTTTGACTTCCTGGATTCCAGGCTGTCCTCCAGGTTCACCTCCCTCCTCCACCTCCTGACACCCAAAACCCTTACCTCAAGGCAATCACCAGGACTAGTGTATCCCGAGGCAAATCACTTATCCTGCTATTGGCAGGGAGAGCTGGGTTTGAGCATCTCATTACTCAGGGTGATTTAAAAAATACACTTCCTGAGTTCCTCTAACTCAGCCACCTATCCTGAACCTGAGTTTCGGACCTGCTGAGCTCATGGTCTTCTGTCTTCTTTCTAGCATTTCAGTTCCACGACTGTCCTTTAATACAAAGTAGTTGGCTCTAGTATGAAAGAAGGAAACAAGGCCGGCCGAGTGGCTCAGTTGGTTAAGAGCTCGCTCAAGAGTTTGAGCTCTGAGCAACAGCGGTTTGAGTCCAGCCCGAGCTGAGCAGCCACTGAGCTGCCAATAGGTAGCAGGATGGCTCAGCTAAAAAAAAAAAAAATGAAAGAAGGAAAGTCCCTTACAGCCCAGAGCGAGTTGAATGGGAGAGAAGAGGTACTGGTGACTCACTGTTGGTGGGACCTGAAGAAGTACAGCTGAGAGATGTGAAAACCCTTGGGTCTTGCAGGGGGAGAGGAGGAATAGTGTTCGTTCTTACTCCAGGGCACTGCCTTGGTTCCTGGTTCTGCTTCTTTTTAGTTCCTGTCCCTCCTGCTTTGGAACTCGCTGAGTATTCAAAAGCACCACATTTCACCCTTTACCAGGTCCCATAAGGAATGTGGCGAGGCCTGGTCAGCTATGAACCCTCCGGAGCCTCTCACACAGAGATCTCAGTGGTTTGTCCCACGTCACTAAGTGGCTCAGCCTCTTTGCTCTATGGAATATATTTGACTTCGTTTCTTGCAGCTGCCAATGTTGATTGGAATGCTTGAAATTACTGAGTGTTTACTATGCCACTGGGTGGGGATTTTAAGCTAAATATAATGTTCTGTCTTGTTTGTGGAGCTACAGAAGACTTTTTAAAAGCAGTGGAATAAAGCCCTATCAAATCAGGATTACAGGGTCTGATACGAAATTCTGAAGTAGATAGCATTTGTTTTTTAAAGTGGAGTGAAAGCACCATGAACATATTTCTTGAAACTCGTTCTGAGGTCATGCCAGCCCAGATACATTAAATAGAGAAGAATATTCTATAATTAGCATATTATTCATATGCTAGCAAGTACTGCTTGGAGACATTTTAAAGTTAAAAACATAAATGTGTTCTATGTGGTGTGGCTTATGTGATTGTTTTGCTGGGGTTTAAAAAAACCAAACTTTTTAAACAGTAGATATTGTAAATGTCAAGTATTTTCAGCTCTTATGAGAACTAATAACATTTTAAATGTATTGAGCTCCCAATGGAAGATTCCCCTTCCCTTTGATAAAATATTACACCTATACATATACTTTATATCCCTGATGTACAACTTGCTTTATGATTATGCTAAATGACATTTTTCCTGATAAGCAGAAAGTAAAGTTTTGAATGTTTGGCCATTTAATCTTGTTGCTTTCTGAGTTTTTTTGTTTTTCTTTCTTTTTTTTCCCCTATTCTTTTAGAACTAGTAGATCTTCCCTTGGTAAAGTTTGACTTTTCCTGCAATAAAGTGCTCGTGATTCCCATTTGTTTTAGAGAGATGAAGCAGCTGCAAGTATTACTACTTGAAAATAACCCTTTGCAGTCTCCTCCAGCACAGGTGAGGGTCCGGCAGAGGTATACGGGACATGCTGTCACTAGTGCTCGGGCAACTCTCGGCACAGCTGGGTTTTGCATATTCCACTGATTTAATGTTGTATTAGACATGATCATAAGCAGTCACAACCTCCAAAAAGATGAAACCCTGGGTGACCCTGACTACATACAGTAAGTCGTCTTCTGCTACATCGAGTCCACTGAGCAGCATTTGGCTCCTTCTTCGGATCACCGCAATCCCAGAATCAGACACCTGATTATTTCATTATTTGTACATGCATTTGAAATGTTTTCATGGAGTGTATGGCTTACAAAAAAGAGTAATATATTCCTTACTTTAATGTTAGCTGGAAAATGGAGCTTAAACGTTTTGAAATATGGTTATTGGTTAGGTAGAGGCAAGATTCAAGTTCAAATATTAAACTTTGTGAGAAAAAAAATGAAGCATATATGCTTCCAGAATTGGAACATTCACAGGCCAGTTACCTGACTGGTCTACTTTTTTACATTATGTGTTTTTAAACACATTTCTGTCAGAATTTTGCATTTTAGTGCAAGAAAAACCAGAAATTGCTTGAGTATGGTTTTCTATTCAAAGTGGGATTTGGAGGAAATGACTGCCTAAATTCCTATAAGTTTTGGAGAGGTCACATTTGGTGTGCATTTTTGAAGTGTTACTTAAAATGAAAATGCAAACATTGAAATACACAGAGTTAGATGTTGAGTGTTTAGATTTTGTTTTGCCATTAAAAAATAAATATGTATTATCAATTTCCCCATAGATTTGCACAAAGGGCAAAGTGCACATATTCAAATATCTGAGCATACAAGCATGTCAGATTAAGACAGCCGACTCCCTTTATCTCCACACGATGGAGAGGCCACAATTACATCAGCAGGTGGAAGACAGGTGAGTGTGACTGCCCTGCCCCAAAGCCCGTTTAGAATTTGTTTAGGCCAAGCTGTTCCAGGTAGCTAACTCCAAAAACCCCTTTGCTTCACCCAACCAGTGCAACTCAGAGTTTCAGAAACTTTTGGAGTAAGGATAAAAGTGATCCTGTTGATAATATTTTGACATCTCTCAAATCTTATCTAGTCCTAATCAATCATCAGTCCTTCTTGAGTCCTGTATGTGTGTGTATATGTGTGTGCACACTCATGTGTGTTTATATTATATATATAACCTTATAAATAAGATCTATAATGTAAATGGAGGCATTTTTACTTATCAGTTAAACCAGCGGCATCAAGCTCAAACATGCCTTTTTTTAATTATTAACTTTTTAATATGCCCCCGGAACATTGTTAAGAAAAACTGCAGGCTCTATTTTTTTAATTGTCTTTTAAAAATGCAGTATGCATAGTTTTGGCATTTCCTGTTTAGAATGGAAGTGTTAGAATCCTTTCACACGTCCTTGGCCTTTTTATGGCATAAATCTGGCCTTGAATTTCAGAGAACAAAATTCCCACACTGAACACACTTATAGAAACACAGATTGTTTTTGAGACGTCCTCACTGCAGAAACTTCCCTTAACTTTTTACTTAAAAAATAAACTGGTGACTTAAAAATCTCAGTCTACCTTGATGGTACCTTTGTATAATCCTTAAAATATGTATTCATTGTTTTTTTTTAAACAGACCACCAAATCTGTTTAGTCAGATTAAAGTTTACAGAATTATCGAAAAGTTACCAGCATTTCAAAATATAAGAGGTAAAAGCAATTAGGTAGTTTTTGCTTTTTTCTATGCTAGAATCAGTAAAATAAGAAAACTGTTAACTGTTTCTAAAGATAGGCTACTTGGTTAGAGCGTAAATCCATGAAACTCTGAACACAAAGAATTTATTTTGTACTCTATTTAAACAGTACAAGTATCTGGTTTTCATTAGGCCCTTTTCTTAACATCCTTTAATGTGGGGCTCATCTGTTGCCTTACGGTAATAATAAAAATTTGTGTGGCAGAGTCATTGTTTGAATATAAATTGATGTGTCTTGTGAACTTTGCGATTTTTAATTTTTTTCTAAATGAATTCAATATCGATGGCGCCTATCCCAGCAAGAAGGATTCTGACTCAGGAGTTGGAAGTGATAATGGAGATAAGCGATTATCTGCCACAGAGGTAAAGTTCATGATCCCTTTGTTTGTTTTTTTTTCCTTCTATGCTTCTAGATATCTCTGCTGCATTCACTGAACTCCTCTCTAATAAAAGGTATTAACCCTCTGCATGGAAACATGTGATAATGTTTGTGAAAGCAATTTGAAGTCCTCCAAGTATTATGTAAATATTAGCTGTTGTTAGCTGTTTCTACATCTTTAATATTTTGTAACTGTAGCAGGAGTAGGGTTCCTATCTCCTTCCCCTCCTCCCACACCCCCACATTATCCGGAATATTCTTGAATGCTTACTAAATATTATGAAATGACTAAGTGATGTGCAAATATCCGTGAGGCATTTTTTTATAAATACATTTGTTTTGAAATGACAGAGTAAGGAAAGAGTTGTTATATGCATGCATAAATGTTCAGGACTCAAATGTACATTGCGTTTTAGCAGTTTACCCCAAGGAAATGCATTTATGAATAGCCTTAATTTATATAGCAATATTTGTTTCCTGAAACTCTTTTTCAGATCATTGGGTTCAAGTTTAATTATTTGTAAGATAACAGACCTCTCACACTAGAGCTTCTGAAAGTGGTTATAAAAAAGCTCATTTAGCACATTTGTTATCTCATTCATTGTCTATTAGATTCCCCCAAATCTCTCGCTGTTATACCAATAAATGGGCCTTCTTGACCAGGGGAGCTAGAAGGGACAGGTGGAGTGAGTAGGGGATGATATATCATCAGGTCTTCCCTTGTTAAGAGAACTTGCTGAGATTCTGTGGTTGTAGAGTTTGAAACATAATCCTCTTTAAAGATGTAGTTAGTAGGTCAGTTACTCCATCTAAGAAATCTATATTGTGATTATGTGTGACTCTAGGAAAAATGCCTTTTTCCAGTTATCTTCAGACCTTTGAGGTTTAATATATAGATAAGGTACTTGAATTTACCCCAAAAATGCTTTACAAAGTAGTGTATTAAAAAAAACCCAAAAAACTAGGAAACCTTGAAACTGTTCTAATATAGAACATGCAAAAGGAAGAGTTAGTAGTCAGGGAAAAAAGGCCAATGTCAATAAAAGAAAATGACTTTCATGGAAGCCACATGAAGAGTTTACCATGGTTCCCTGGGGGAGAAAATACTCAACACGTTTCTTTATAAGTTGCATTTAATTCCACCCCTTTAGCTTTATTAAAACTCATAAGTCCCCTGAAATGCCCCATTGTTTCATCAATTACTCACCCTACGCTTATTTTCTATGAAATTAAAACAGACTCTGCTTTATCCTTTATCTGTCTTCTAAGGATAATTAAGTTCATTAATGAAACATTACACAAAGAACTTCATTATCCTTTTGTTCTCACTTAGTATAAGTAGGATGCTAATATCGTTCTGAAAGAGAAGTCCAAGAATTTTTTCTTTTTTTAATTAACTAGTTGCATATCTTTGGAAGTTTGCTGAGTTTTTAAGAGGGGAGGAGGGAGGAATGAAGAAGAACTAAAGAGAGGATTACATTCAATAGAATAAAATCCACAAATCTTCCCTTTGGCTTTTTTTTGTTTGACATTGTAGCCTCATTACCTGAAAACAGCCTCCAAGAAATTTGCTTTTTTACCATGATAAGGGTTCTGAATTACCCTGGGTAGCTTTCTGTTTTCACTTTGGCAGTATTTTACCATCAATGGTCAGTTGATCTTGCTCCCCACGTGTATCTCATTGTGAGGTTCAAAGATCACACCTCCTTCCCTTTCTTTGGCTGTTGCCATTTTCTGATTGATTTAGCATGTTATTAAGAGGTTAAAAACACATTTTTCTCAAGATGAGCGAGTCAAAAAATTGGGGCTTAATGAATATCTGTTTAATGAATGAAATGCATATTTGTTTCCTGCCAGTTTCTAAACAATTTGTGCACGTGTCCAGAAGTAAACGAACACTGCTCTCTGACAGTTATAGCCTCGGATATTTAGGAGCAAGCCACAGTCACCTGAAGTATGTTCTGTGGAGGTTCCTGATCCCTGTGATTTGGAAAGCTTTTCACTAAATAGCAGCAGTGAAGTGGAGACACAGGAAGATAAACGAGGCTCCATATTTCATTTGTGACAGAATCATAGATTTTTCTGAATAAACTTCATCAATTGGCATGGAAAACAAGACCCCCAGAGAGAGCTAACTCTGATTACCAAACTGAAGTGTTATTCTGAAAATTGAACAAAACACATGTTCCACTGAAGTCCTGCAATCATTTAGCACTTTTATACATTTAATGCAGCGTCCTCATCCTAAAACAGGGAAATAAACTGAAGCATAGTGTTGCATATAAAATGCACTGTAATTAAATGAATATTGTCACAGCGGTTGACTGCCTGCTTTTTGTGATGAGCCCCATGAAACCTTACTGGAGTTGTGGTAAATCATTGTTCTCAGATCTCACAGTAACATTACTATGAAAACAATTGATGAGACGTAGGGCTAGTGTGATAGCGCGTTTGCAAGCATTCCTTTGTTCTGTCAGGTGTTACACAGTCCTTAGTGCTCTGACGATGGCTCTTAGGTTAGAAAATATGGTCAGGCACCTGACAAAATTTCAGCTTTAAAACATATGTACAGAGAAGTACATGAGTGTGCGCAATGAATTTTGACAAAGCGAGCACACCCATATCACCAGCTGCCAGTTCAAGAGAACTTTACCAGCACCTCAGAGAGCCCTGCTCATGCACCCACCCCCTCCAACCCAACAGCAGCCACTATCCTGACTTCAAACACCATGGATTCGTTTTGCCTGTTTTTTAACTTATATCAGTGGAATTGTCCTTTGTATCTGGCATTTTGTACTCAATATTATGTTTTTTGAGAATCACAGTCTGGTTTTTTTAATTACACAGCATTCTCTTAATCTATGTTGATAACACTTCTCCCTTGAAATGAACCAGTGCCCTGTTTCTTTTTAGCCTTCTGATGAAGACACTGTTAGCCTCAATGTGCCAATGTCAAATATCATGGAAGAAGAACAGATCATCAAGGAGGACTCTTGCCATCACCTTAGTCCAGTAAAAGGTTTGAGAATGAAAGATGAGGAAGTGCTTGTTTTTAAGTTTCAGATGCTGTGTTTACGATATGCACAAATATGACAATGATAATAGTTAATGTTTACTGAGCATTTCCTATGCACCAGGTACTGTGCTAATCTGTGAAGATGAACTCATTGAAAGTTAAAACTCTGAGGTAGATACTCTAATCATCTCCATTTTATAGAGGAAACCGAGGCTCAGAGAGTTTCAGTAACTTGCCAGTGGTCATGCAGCTTGTAAATCTTGGCGCTGTACTCATTCTGAAGATTTATACAAGATTCTTTAAATCCATTATTGGAAAGAAAATATTGACATGTAGATATATTATTTCAGATCACGGTAGTTATTGTAGCACATAAAATCTCCAAATCTCATTGGTTTAATACAATCCAAATCAAGTCCAAATAATCGTTCGTGATTGACATGCAACTCCCTACCAAGTGATGATTCAAGGATCCAAGCTCCTTTCATGCTGTGACTCCACCATGTTTAACACAAAACTTCCAAAGTTTCCGAATCCATCTGTTTCAAGGCAAAAGGGGAAGAGCATGGAGGTTTGCTTACAGGAAGTTTTAATGGACTGAACCTAGAAGGAGCCATCACTTATAAGCTAGACTTAGTTACATGGCCACAGCTAACAACATGTGAGGGTAGGAAATATGTAGTTGAGATGTGTCCCCCAGCTTGACTTTGGACAAGTCAATTGACGTTAATTCTCTCATTTGTAAATGAGAGGTTTAGATGAGGTTATCTCTGATGTCTTCTGTAGCTCTAAGATTCCGTGGTTCTTTAATAAACACCACATGATTCCTAAGCACTCTGTGTCTTGCATACCTTCAAAATCCTAGTACTACAGTTCATATCTTGGTGAGAAGCCCTCATTTATTGCATTATAGCAATACTTTGACTACTCCTGTTTATTCAGTGACTTTTTAAGAAAGTCTAAAATTTAGTGTTTACTGATTTGTGACAGAGACTATTTCATGGGGCATGAATGGTATAGAACTAGATTTATATACAGATTATCCCCCTAACAATTTGAATATGCTTTCATTGGTGATGGGAGAGCCATTTAAACTAATTCAAACTTTAGTGTTTGATTGCACTTCTTACATTTAGATTTTTAAACTGAGCCCTTAAGTTTAGTATTTATTTTGATCTGGGATCATGAGTGGAACCATGTGTTGTCCAAAAATATAACTGTATACTTTATGCAAAATTATAACTGCCACTTTACTAATTTAGATAAGCTTTAGTACATTATGCAGTATAGAAGGTAATAGTTTAGGCAAATTTTCAAAATAAAATAATTACACAATTTGTTAGCAGTGACTTTTTCCCCCCCTCTATTGTAGAAGTGAGTATTCTGCTGGCCAGAGTCCTTCATAGTAGCCATTGGTCCTTTTTAGTTTTCAGATCAGAGAGCAGAGATCTGCTTGGTGCTCCTTTTGTCTAAACCCTTAGGACTCCGTTCTAGTTGGATGGAGGTGCTCTGAGAAGGCTTTACTGTCTATGTGGCCCTTATCTTAGCCCCATCTTTTGTTGTTAGGATTTTAGTTTCTTGTCTTACTTCCTTCCCACACTCTTCCTTGAGACTGTTTGCTACTTAAGGACCATGAGTCAGGTATGACTGATTTTTTAAAATCCCTACAATGTTTAGCATAATACCTGCCATTGAGTAGTTGCCCAGTAAATATTTGTTGAATTTTTAATTTAAAGTGGTTACTTATCACACATTACTCAGAGCACATATGCTCTCTTTTTTAATTTCTTTTTTCTGTTCCTTAAAAAAGTAAGAGGAAATTTCATTTCTTTCATAAGGAACTAAGACGTATAGAGGCCTTGACGTTCAAGTTCTGTTTAGGGCTTTCTGTTTCTTTTCCTTGTCTTCCTCTTATTTTTTTCTTCTTTTCCTTATATCCTTCAGGGAAGAGAAAACTTGGGTCATTCATATATCTCCTTAAGAGATAAGAGAGAATATTGAAATAATTAGGTGATAACATTTGAGGGTAATCTGTTATTTATTCATCTGTTCATAAAATCATACTTTCTGCCTGTCTCCTTATTTTCCTAATAGGGGAATTTCATCAGGAATTTCAACCAGAGCCTTCCCTTGTGGGTGACAATGACAACTCAGGAGAAGAAAGAGATCAGTTTACCCATGGAACAGATGTTCTGCACTCAGAATTTATAAACTGTTTTAAGGCAAGTTGAGGATCAACTAATTTTTTTTAATATATTTACTTATGTTTGATGCAAGGCTAGTTCAAGGTTACCAATCCATCACCTGAAATGTCAACTTCCCGAGGCCTTTATAACATCTTCTCAAAGCTCAGCATGTTTTTTTCTGACATTAGGGGCCAGTCCCTCCTATACATACCTCTGCATGTGTTATCATATGTGTATGATTTTCTTTTGTATTCAGAAAACACTCAACTTTTCACTACTCAGTGCATCATATCAGTTAGCAAACATCAGAATTTCTGTGACCATTCAGTAAAAGCTAAACTAGACAAGTTTTTTGTTCTCTTCGATGTATTCTAGATGAATGCTTTTCTTGGGAGTAAGTATATCCATAGTATAAAGAGAAAAATGGAGACTTATGATTTGGAAATGAATGTCTTCCCTTTTTGGAAAGATCACTCCGACGACACTTATTTCTGAACCATTGTAGTTACACTGAGGTGTTGAAACGTTGGGTGAAGTCACTCAGCTGTCAGGTGAAGCTTCATCATAGTACTATAGTTAAGTTCCACTTAGGTGCCTTGGTATGTTTTTGTCAGTCTTTTTGGTTCAGGTTGTGGCACCCAAGTATCATGAGGATAATCCTTTCAGTAAAGTTCAGATTCATGGTGGTTCCTGAGAAATGATGGTCTCTGAGTTAATGTGTTAAAGCCAAGCATGGGGCTTCTAAGAGCACATTCTTATTTCCTGAGAATTGTGTTTTGATGTCTGGACTCTGTCTTAACTAACGTCTCTGGGTATCACCGCCAAGGGAACTGGGAAGAAAATAGCTGAGCTTTACACTGTATAATACCCTGGTGTGCTCAAGAGGCCTTTATGCCCTCAAGGACAAAAATAAAGAACCTGCTTAACCTGCTTAGGACTTAACGTTTGTAGAAACTAAGAAGATTACAAAAGTTATGTAGAGGCATACCTTTCAGATATTGTGGGTTTGGTTCCAGACCATTGCAACAAAGCCAATATGGCAATAAAGTGGATCACATGAATTTTTTGGTTTTCTGGTGCATAAGTTTACATTATACTGTCATCTATTAAATGTGCAATTGCATTATATCTAAAAAAATGTACATGCCTTAATTTAAAAATACTTCATTGCTAAAAAATGCTAACCATCACCTGAACCTTCAGGGAGTCATAATCTTTTTGCTGGTGGAGGGTCTTACCTTCGATTTGTAAAAAATGCAATATCTGAGAAGCTCAATAAAGTGAAGTGCAGTAAAACGAGGTATGCCTGTAGAAGGATAAGACACAGAAATCCTTAACTCTTTATATCTAATCCATCATGAATCCATAAATTCTTGTTTCAAAATATCTCACACCCACTGCCTTGTTTCTGCCCTCTACCTCCACTGACATTGCTTTAGTTGCGCTTCTAATCATTTCTAATTTTCATGACTGCAGGAGTCCCTCACATCCCAACTTCTCACCCAACATCCTTCCTCGTGTTTGTACATGCATGTGTGCGCACACACACACACACACACACACACACACACACACACACATTCTCTCTCGCTTTATGTTCTGCCACCAGCCATTCTCCTCGAGAACAGATCTAATGACATTGCTCTGAGGCCAGTGGTTCTCACAAGGTTCTTCCAGATTTGACCCCTGTCTGTCAGCTCTGGGATGAGCCTGTCACAAAACATGGAAAATAGGGCTTTTGTCTTTATTTTATGAAGACTTCATCTTAAGTTGAGAACCTAAAGTAAGGACGGAAACCCTGACAGAAAACAATCAAAGCAATTAATAAAATAAAGCATATTGTTTAAGAAAAGCACATTTCCATGGATTCAGAGATTTTAGGAAGCAAAGGGCTTCATAGAAATGGCTGCTCTACAGCATGGATCTTGTGGGCAGACTTTAGAGGAGCAGATAACGGTGTTGAAATCTTCTCAGCAAATGTTGCCTAGGTGCCTGCTCCCACACGAGTCTTCTCTTGGAAAGTCAAGAGAAGAACGCTAATAAAATAAAACTTACATCTATAATGAAAATTCATACATTGAAACCCAGGCCCACCTTAGCCTTGAGTTACATCACTTCAAAAGCCTGTAGTATGTGTTGGGCACCCAACGAGTGTGCTGACTACTCAGTCCTTGAAGGTCGAGAGTTATATAATCCCGTTCCCTCTCTTCTCTGAATTAGCATGTTGTGCTTTTGTAATTACACTTGACCTCATTATTCACAGCAGTTCTGTTCTATACAGTTGCCTCAAACACTGAATTATCAAATTCTGAGCCATTGTTCCTGGAGTAAATACAGGGTTGGGTCACAATATTTTTGTCAAATGGTCAGTACCTAACCTTGTTTTACAGTGTTTTATGTATTTTATTATATGTGTGTTACCATTTAAAGACACCCTATTTATAATATGTATTGCTGACTCATTAACAGTGACCACCGTAACTTATGCTTGAAGGAAGCATGTGTTACATGCATGTTTCCTCCATACGGCACACCATAGCCTTCTTGCACTTAGGAACACTAGACCACACTTCAGCACTGTGCTTGGGGGCATTTTAAACAGCAAAATCACCCCTCCCCCCAGAAAAGCACAAAAATGTGAAAACATGGCACTAAATAGACTGAAGAGGACACTTGTTTACACGATGAGAACTGAAACAAGAGGGCAGAGCGTTGCCTTGTTTAGTCTCAGCTGGGAACATGCATGTTGGGGACTCATATTTTCACTGTTCTACACATGTCTGAGAATGATTCTGAAAGCATCACGAGTATTGATTTTGGGGTTACAAACAAATTTTAGTGAGTAGGCAAATTCATAAATACGGAATCCACAAATAATGAGTATCAGCAATGTAACCGTCTAACTCAGCAAAAGAAACCCAGTCAGCCCTACTGTGCACACTGAAAGAAAAACTGATGTTTCGTACTACTGGCTACTTTTTATTATGAAACTGAAAATTAGAAGGAAATACCCATGGCTTCTATAGCTGAAGCCCAACAAGAAGAGATAAGAACATGCTTTCTTGGTCATTTCTAGTAGTGTATTTTCTCCCATGAATTTTACTATCACTTGGGTAGTGTGACACAGTAATTTATGTGTTGATTTTATTATGCGCTAGAAGTATAGTCAATATAGAAAAAGTCAGAGTGTTTTTCAAGACAGAGGCTGGCATCAGGCAGCAAGCCACCTCCTCCTCAGAAGACTCGTTCTCAGTGACACATCTGGAGAATTGGCCGGGCCTGAGTTAGCTAGCAATGTGTCAGAACCCGGAAGCAGAAAACAGCCCTTTTGGCTGTTGTTCTTTCCTTGCCAGGGAAATGTACCCCCATTCAGGGTGGCTTCCATGCTAGCCGTTGGCTGAGTTAAAGCAGCATTTCTGTGTGTCAGAGATGAAAGTGGAAAGAAGCATGTGGAAGTTCCAATGATGGGACACACCTTTCCAATACTCCCACCAATGTTTCTTTGGGAAAATAATGGTAGGGGTGGCGTGTTTCAGTGAAATCTGTATATTGTCCACATGAAAACTGTCAGATGTCATTTGAGACATTTTCTGTTGTTAAATATTTTATACATTCTTTTTTTCCCAATCACACACACACACACACACACACACACACACACACACCTACTTTCACAAATGCTCTCTCTTGTGACTGACAAGCCCAGCAGAGGAATTGGTCAATAGCAGGAGGTGCTAAGAGCGCAATAAGGAATTCAGTTTTAAATTTCTGATAGTAAATTAACAGGTATTGTGGTCTTAGGCCAGGTTTTCTTTCTTTTTTTTTTTTTTACTTTTTTAATTATGGTAAAATCCATGTATCATAAAACTTACCATCCTAGCCATTTTTAAGTGTAAAATTCAGTGGTACTAAGTACATTCACATTATTATGCAATCATCACCACCGTTCATCTCCTGGACTCTTTTCATCTTATAAAACTGAAACTCTGTACCCATTAAACAATAACTCCCTATTCCTCCCCCTCCCCCAGTCTCTGGCAACCACCATTCTACTTTCTGTCTCTATGAATTTGACCACTCAAGGTACCTCGCATAAGTGGAATCATATAGTATTTGTCTTTTTGTGATTGACTTACTTCACTTAGCACAATGCCCTGAAGGTTCATGCACATTGTAGCATGTGTCAGGATTTCCTTCCTTTTTAAGGCTGATTGATATTCCATTGTACAGATAGACCGCATTTTGTTTATCCATTCATCCATTGATGGACACTTGGGTTTCCACCTTCTGGCTCTTGTGTATAGTGCTGCCACGAACATGGCTGGGGCATGGTTTGGCTGTTGGTAGCCAGAGCCTCTCAGAAGACCCATGTGTTCTGTCCACAGGACAGGCCAGAGGACTGCGAAGAGCTACGGATAGAAGAGGATGCACATTGGCAACCTGAGGGAACGTGAGTACTCAGGACCTGATCATGAGTCACCATCCTATAAAGTTCATGTTTCAAGCAGAATGGCAGCCCTGGCGTGAAAGAATTCTGTTCCACTTTTCTTTGGGCAAGCTGTTACTCTTACCCAACGATAATGATAAGTTGCCAGTCTCCCTCTGTGTCCATGCTTTTTGTCGCAGTATTAGAGTAATACAGTGCAAGGTCATACCTCTACCTTGGCCCTGAGTTTTATCAGATTTAAGGCTGTAGGTAGAAATGTGACTCAGGGAATTAGATAAAATTTCTAAAGTGAAGATTCTAGCTTCCTTCCATTTGCATGAAGAAGCCAACAACTGGATCTAAAGTAGTCCTGGTTCCCCTCCCTTATGCCGAGTCTTCAGGTTCAAAATCTGAGAAAACGATATACCGCTCATGTCCTGGTCCTAAGTGTAATAATTACAATAGCTAACATTTATTAAATTCCCCATGCCAGTCACTGTCCTAAATACTTCAAGGTAGTAACTCATTTCACCTTTACCACAATCCTATGAGGTAATTTCTATTCGTTATCCCCTGTTTCACAGATGACAAAACTTAGGCACAGAGAGATTACTTTGCCCCAAGGTCACAGAGAGCCAGGATTGAACCCAAGGAATCTCACACGGGATAGACATCCCTTCTGTTCTGCTGCCTATAAAGATTTACTTGGCAGGCTTTACAGGGGAGGGCATGAGGGTCCATCAGCTGATGAACCGTTTCCAGGGGAACTGAGTTTGGCCCATGGGGCCCAGAGTAGAAATTTGGTTCCCAGGGTTTCATTTTCGATGATGTGGCATGTAGGCCTGACCTTCCAGCATACCTTTTGGGGATTTTCCCCTTAGGGAGGATTTACCACACTGTTAAAGAAATTTCTCCACTCACAGAAAGGCAATTGGCTTATGTTCTATAGTGGAAAGGAGTGGAAAGTATCACATCTCTCTTGCCCTTTAAAATCATTAAAAAGTTTCTTTCGAACCACTATCTAGCATTACCAGCATTCATTAGATATATTTGTGATGCCAAGGAGTCCTAGCTTAATTATAGAATCATAGAATTATAGGGAAAGAGATTTTATGGGGAAAGAGTTTTTAAAACTATATAAAGCCTTGGAAACCCATTCTTAATCTTATACCTATTGTTCTCAAGATTGCCTGTAAATCAGGATCGTCTATAGAGCTTAACGAAATGCCCAAGCCCCAGTCAGACCTACTGGTACTATCAGGCCTGGCATTTTTTTTTAAGTACTGCAGATGATTTTGCTGCATATAGGGCTCAGACTGACAACTGCCATCCCACACTGAAATCCCATGTTGTATGAAATCCCATGTTGTATGAAAACCATAAAACTGAGCTACACTGGTTGGCCTGGCATTGAGAGGCCGGGAAGTAGTGCAGACCTGCCGTAGCCGAGCACACCTGTGTGTCCCTAGGGCTCAGGAAAGCGTAGTGAGACCCACCCAGCTGGTCCACTGCCCGGATTGTACAGATGAGCAGATGGAGGCTGACAGGCATTGAGACTTTGTGTGAGTTGCTTTACAGCAAAGCTCCCCCAACTCGGGAGCCCTTTCCAACTACATGCTGGCAACCCACCCCGCAGGGTACTCACAGGTCTTCATTATAATGTAGAATTTGTCAAAATCATTTTTATATGTTAGATGGATTTTTGTAAGTTTGCTCTTAAGAATCTAGATAATATTCTTATTCTGTGATCATTTTCATTCTCATGCTTGGTTTCATGCTGCAGAATGAGTTCATCCAAAGACCAGGACATGGGTATAGCGATGATTGAACAGCTGAGAGAAGCAGTGGATTTGCTGCAAGATCCCAACAGGTATGTGTGTCTATCCTTGGCCCAGGCCTCAGATATTAATGTGTGCTAATTCATTGCATACATTCTCACTTAAAAAAAATATTTGTACACACACTATGGGCTCTGTCTACCCACTAACAAAGAAAAGTCATTTTAACTGCCTGTTTTCCCAAGGTCCATAAGCAAGTATCAAACTTCTGGAGGCTATTCAAAAAAATACATAAACTACTAGTGGGAAGGTAAATTGGCAAAACCATTCCAGAAGGCATCCTAGTCGTATGTATTATAGTTGTGGTCTAAAAATATATATAAACCATTTATTTACATGAATACTAAAAAGGTATCCAAAGGATATGAACAAAGACTATGAGAGGAGAGGTGTTTTTAATAGCAAATATTTGGAAAAAAAGGGAATATATTTTGGTCATTAATAAGGTAGAATATAATGTAGCCAATAAAATGTTTTTTAAAGTTTCCAATATATTTTAGAATGCTCATTATATAATGTTGACTTTAATAAGTATGTAAAATGCATAAAGTTTGATACCAATTATAAGATGGAATTAGGTCCCAATTTTGTATAAGCTTAGGAAAAATTAAAACTGGAAGGAAATATATTATGATGGAAATTTTTTCTGTATTTCTAAATATTTTGTAATACTTTTTCGTACTGCAGATCCTCAGTGGTAGGGACTGTTGTAGTTCTTTGATGCTCATTTGAAGTGGGTGGTGAGAAGGCTGGGAGGGAACAGTCCGCGGTGTTTTAGACCTCAGTCGCCAGTATCTGTGTCTGAGAGAGAACAGGTTTGAAGAGGAGGATGTTGGGGTCCGTTTAGAGCATGATGGATAGTATCTAAGGTGGCAATGTGGTGGTATCCCTTCAGCTGCTAAATGTTTAGTTCTGGCACTTAGAGACTTAGATTTGAAAGTCTTTTTCACAAGGAGCTGAAGTGATGAGCTGTATAAGAGGATGAGGCTCTCCAGGGCAAGCATGTTGATGGAAAGGGAATGTGAGTCCAGGACAGAGCCTTGAAGACGTGATGTGACAGAGAGTGGTTCATGACTGGGCTCAAACTTTATATTGTTTTACTCCATCTACCTTTTACATCTTGTATCACTTTTCCACATTTTTATTACAAGTTCTAGATTGATTAACATATGAGCCCCAAGGCAAAAAAGAGCAGCCTACTTAGGTGGAAATAACAGTGGCTTGGGAATATGGGACTGGAACCCAGAAGTAAGATCAGAGTGAACTGGAGGGAGTGGCCCCCTGCTCTGGGCCTGAATGTCACCAATCCTTCATGAGAAGTGGGATGAACTGAGGATCTTGACATTTCTTTTTCCAGCTTGGAAATGTCTGAGACAATGAGGTGCCAAGGATGTTGAGTGGGAATGGTGGGTATGTGCCAAATTGCGGAAGAAAACAGCCCCGAGTAACCTTCCAAGCAATAGTTGATTTGGATCTTTATGGAGCGATATTTTAAAATTATGTTATGTTGTAAAACGTTATGTGGATTTTATTTCTTTCCTAAAATAATCCACTACTTTGGCTGCTTTAGATCTTTGTGGTTCATCCTGAACTAATTATTATAAGACAATTCTAACTTTATAATAATGCTTCTGTGAGCCAGTGTAATAGTAATAAAGAAAGAGTCCTGTGTTTGATTCTGATAAAAAGAAGACACTTCAAGAAGTCATTTATTTCTAGCTGCTTGGGTCTGAATATTAGTAATAAAAACTTTACATACATTGGGTTTACACACACATCTCATGCTTCATAGATCCAGACTTTTTTGTTGTTTTGATTAAGCCGATGATTATTGGCTTAAATTTTAGAAGCTAACCTTTCATACAATCTTAACATCAAACAGTGGAGCTGCTGTCCTAGTTTGCCTTTATAGTGGTTTCTTCTCTTAAGGATTTCTGATTGTTGGTTTGATAGCATTTTAAATAGGCATGTATAATATAAACTCATTCCTCCCTTTTCAGATAGATTTGTAACTTTTATTTGACTTACAGAAATTCCTGGTTTTATAGGTCTTAAGACAAAACAAAACAAAAAAAACACCTCAACTCTTAAACTTGCAGAAATTCAGAAACTAAGACCATTTCAAAAATAAAAATGCATATCAAATTGTTTATGAATTCTTATTTTGTTGAGTGAAGGTATTAGTGTATATCAGAGAGATCTTCATATTTAAACAGAGGAACCTTGGTACATATACTATAATACCCGTAGCAACTTTACTTCTGTAAATTAATCAAGTTCTAGAGTAAAATTTATTGAGTGCTACCTATGAAAATTATGACTTTATTAGAAATTACTGTTATATTTCAAGTAGGAGTTCGATATCAATAGCAGATAAAAAATTATATTAAAATTAAATTTGGCGCACGATGGGAAAATACCATGTAGTTTGAAATTTCTACTCTAAAGCTTTCATTACTTAATCCTAATGGTAAAAATAACTTTGTATATATTAAAATTTTAAACTAAGTGACCAAAAGCAGTAGGATTTATTAAAATTGTAATAAATTTGCTAACATCATTTTTCCCTGACTCTAGATTAAGCACAGATATGACAGAGAGAAGTGTTGTCAACTTTTATCCTAAGGAATCAGCAGAAGCCTTAGAATTACAAGATTCTACACTCAAGTATGTTGACCTTTTTAAAACGGAGTATGTTTTCTCTTTTTACATTGAAATATGTATGCTTTAAATTCCACCTTATATCTTTTTTCCCCTTATTCCTACAGTGGTCAATTACAGCTGGAGACATCCCCAGTATATGAGGTAAGGCTGCTCTTAGATTAAGTAGAGCTCCATGCAATATTCTGCCACAGCATAGTGGCCACCATATTCTATACAGATTTATCATGGGCTAAAACATTCCTTAGTGAGTTCTGTTCAAGATCTATTTTTCAGTTTTTTTACACTTTTACCCTCTTTAATTTTCCTTCTTATTTATTATACTTCACCTTCCATTAAAGATGAGAATTGGCTATTGCCATTAAATTCGCTCCATTTTTCGTGTCAGATAGCCTTGATGAATCAGTCAGTTGCAACTGAGATCCATAGAGAACCAGCTTTGTGTCAGAAACTGGAGGCAGGACCGTTCAATGCAGATTTTAGAGCCATGAAAGAAGCCAGATGCACATCAACTAGAAAAGACGGGCAAGACAAGAATAAATGATTGGGGAAATGCCTCGGAGTATTAAAAGAATATAGTAAAGTGAAACTGGTGGGAGTATTTGCAGACAGAATAAGAGTAAAGATACACTGGGTGAAATTTGGTGGCTGTCTAAAGCAGTTTTGACTAAAAATGAGCCTAGACGGTCCCGAAGAAACAGTGGTAAAGAGATAGGTTTGAGCTGATGACTTAGGAGTGAAACAGGTTACAACCTGTTTCATCATTTCTCAGTGAATCGGTTCAGATTGGCTAATTTTGATACAAACTAATTAATGTCCCCTGAGATGTCTGAATATGTACTGTAGTACAGTGATTTCACACTCTTTACTGGCTAAGTCTCTGTGTTAAATAAGGAGGAAAGAACTGCACTCAAAAAACCCATGTTCCCAGAAAGTATGGTTTCATTGTTAAGCATAGTGACTTGGAATTACATTGTTTCAGTTTCATCCCAAAGACTTGCTAACTATGGGCGACTCTGGGCAACCTCTCTGAACTTCACCTTCACTTTCTGTAAATTGGGTTGGCCTCACAACCCAAGACACTTAGATGTTAGCTGTTAACTGTTATTCTACTACTCTATTACTGTTATTGGTGTGGTCCTTACAAGAATCACTGCACGCCCCCCCTCTCCCTGAGTGGGGGTATTATGGAGTTACCCAGTCGTAGAACATCAGAAAGTCTTTTATTTGAAGTTGCTCTGGGCCCATTTCACCAAACTGATTTTGAGACATGTTACCGGTGATTCCATGCAGGCCCCCTTTTTTAAAAAAGCATCTTATTTGGAAATAATTTTAACCTTATAAAAGTATAGAGAAAAGATTACAAGATTCTACAAAAGGTTACAAAAAATTATTAAACCTTTTACCCAGATTTACCTGTGATTAACATTTTACCGTGTTTATGGTATCATTTGTTGCTTGTCCCTGTCTGTCTCTTTCTCCACGCACATAGCTCTTGTTCTGAAAATTTGTGGGTAAGTTTCTTACGTCATCATAGTCCCTCATCCCTAAAGACTTCCATGTATGTTTTCTAAGAATAGGAATTGTTATCTTCCATAACCACATTTCCGGTATCAACTTTATAAATTTACATTGATAAAATCTTTTCATCTAATCTACCATCCAAATTCCAAATATTTAGGTTGATCTAATGTCCTTCATAGCATTTTCCCCACTGCAGTGTAGAATCCAGTCTAGAAGTAGGTAGTTGTCAGGCACCTATATTTTGCTTTACTCTGGAACATTTTCATAACCTTTCTTTGCTTTTTATGACCTTGAAATTTTGAAGACTACAACCCTCCCCCCATTTTTTATTTTTTTAATAGAATACCCCTTATTTTGTGAAACAAAATTCCCTCCTGTTTCTTCGTGATTGGGTTGGGGTTCTACATTTTGGGGGGATACTACACAGGTGAAGTTGTGTCCTTCTCAGGGTGTCACAGTTGGGCCTCATTGGTGATGTTAATTTAATCACCCAATCAAGGTGATTTCTCCACTGTATAATTACTGTTCTATTTTTTTCCTTGCAACCAATAAGCAGTCGCTGAAGAGATACTTTGAGACCCTGTTAGTATCATGCTGCAGACCCAGTTTTGACTCTAGTAACATAGATGCCCACCTGTGTATGTGATTCTAGGAGTACCAGGAAGCACAAAACCTCCAGAAAAAAGATACCTCCACTCCATCTCTGATTTACAATGTTTGTGTTAAATATAAGTTGGTTTCTTTTTTCCCTTGGATTTGTCAAAGTTGGGAATATTTTTTAATAGCACTCCTCAGCAATAGGAATAGGAAAAGACATCTTAAATTTATACTAATTTTACATAACTGATATGAAGATGTTTATATTCGCCATCACCAAACTTTTTATTAAGGTGGATGCATGAGGCTCTTGATTACCATATAAAGAAAGAAGACCTGGGTAAAAGAAGCATCGGTTGCCAAAGCAAACTGATGTTGAATTGACGGCATAAGATTTTCCCAGGAAATTTGGGGTCCAGGCATGTATACTTATTAAAAGCTGCCAGTGAGGCTCTGCGTATTTGGGAACTACTGTCTTGAACTATTTCTAACAACCTGTAGTTACATAATAAAATGGGGGTGGGAGCCCACAAGGGGCTGACATTCACAGATGGTTTGGGCTGACCACTTAGCTCTGGAAAATCCCTTTGCTTCGTTTATGTGATACTTTAGAGATATTTTTCTGTGAATACAGCTGCACGTTTTTAGGGAAAAAAATATATATATATATAAAACCTACTTAGCTACTTAATACACTATTTAATCAGTTCAGTGTATAATTCGTTAATGCACCAATGTGCTGCGGATGGAAGAAAGACACAGTTCTTGCCTCAGTAGTTTTATAGCCTAATGGAACATGCCATGCATTTTTTTCTTCTTTAAGGTGCAAAATGATCTAACATTACAGAGTAACGGGAGCGAGTATTCTCCAAATGAGGTAAGTTTTTTGAAGGTTAATGGAAACTGAGGTATCCTGTGAGGCCTGAATTGGAATACTTTTTACAAAAATATATAGTCGAAGACTGTCCTGATTAATAAGTGAATTGTATCACAGATTCTCTGCAGGAACCTCTTTCATTTGCTATTAGAGCCTTATCTGGCCCTATCCATAATTAAAGATTACTTTTAGAAGACAGAATTTGAAAACCAAATATGGGAATGTCTTTATAGAAAACAAAGTGAAAAGAGTTCAAACAGACAACGTTTAGACTGTCGTTATCCATAAGTTCCATAAGTGATTCCGTGTGTGGTTTCCCTATAGATGAAACATCTGTTCACAGTTATCTGTTGCTTCATGTCACTGTGTTTCGAGATTCTTCATCAGATGTGCCCTTCATGAGGTGGAATTGAATGTGTGCTTGCATGTGTGTACGCATGCACATGCATGCACACATCTATTCTGTAGCAGAAAAGGATTGCCAGTCTCACATGTTTGTAAATTTTTTTTATAATGAGCAAATAAAAAATTAAATGGATCTCCCCCAAAACAACATTCTGTTAATTATGCTACTTAAAGCATTTGCAATATGAAGATGCATTGGTTATTATTTAGTCAGGACTTCATGACACGGCAGCAAATGCAAAAAGTCGTGGTTTGATTAAAATTTTTGAGCATAGAGAAACATGCGTATTTCTGCTTCAGTTTTTTTTAAAACTTTCCTTTCCTTGAAACATCACAGATTAGAGAGAACACCCCTGCCGTCTCTCCTACCACCAACAGCACAGCTCCATTTGGCCTGAAGCCCCGATCAGGTAATTTAAAACCTTAACATTCTTAAGCTTGTAAACAGCTAAGTGGTTTCTCTTTAGCCTTTTAAATGTACTCTTATATACTCCTGTCAGGTGAGTTTGAGTCCTGGTATCAGAACCTGTTTACAGTTTGGGAAGCCTTGTTTTCAGTGAATCAACTGTGAAGTTCATGTTATCAGTTATAGAGATCTTATCTCCTTTTGAATCAGAGCACAGAGAAAAAGGTAATAGGGCATGTAAGTGTGAAAGAAATATTCTACTGAGTTTTGTAACCCAGGAAAATAAAAATAGCTAGCCCTTTGCCCCAGTGGTTCCTGGTACCCTGATAAATTAAAGAGAGTTACCTCTAGGAGGGTGACTCCTTTCTGAGATATGTGCCTTCTGAGCCTTGCTAGGGTCTGTGTATAACGGTGATCATTTCAAGGCTCACAGGACTGGGCAGGAGTCTTTTTTTTGAAGAAGAAGAAGAAGCTTTCTGCTTATATTACTTACTTCCTTTTAATTTCTTACTAGCATGTTCACAAATGTACATCATAGCAATGTGCAAAGTAACTACTGATTTTTAAAAAAAGGAGTATGTATGGAAAAATTTGGTTCTTCTGATTTCTCCACATACTTAAAGTTATGGCACGATCTACCTTCTTATAGGTCCTTTCTTTAAACATTTTTTATTCTTAGGTCTTTTGGATACAGTCACTAATGCTTTTAACGAAGTCCTAATAAAGAACTCAGACACTTTTCAGCAAAAGCTAGTCAAGAACTCAGATATCCTGAGTTGTTCAGTAAAGCATTTTGGCAACATTAAAAGTTATCCATTTACATTTTGAAAAAGGGTACCCGTAGGGGGAAAAGAAACAGATAATCTCTCATAAAGGAAATTTTTTTCACTTTTGGAGCAGCTTGGTTGATGGGTACCATGTGGCCAGGTATGGTTTACTGGCATTTTGAATGGGCTGTAAGACAAAGCTATTTGAAAAAATGCTTGGGTGTGTCAAGGGTTGTTAGTAGGTGTTTTATAGAACTTGTTTATAGAACTTATTTACTATGAAATAAGTTCAAATGGCTGGCCTCTTCGTTTTTGGAACTGAGCATGTGCAACCAGTTCTGGGATGGGCACCATTTCCACGGTCTGAGGCGTGTGCTGGGAGGAAGGGAGGTCACTCGGGCACATCTCATCTGTGCCCTTAGTGACACCCACCAGGAGAGTCACTGCCACACACTGAAGACATATTGGGCTACAGACTTTCTCCTAATCCTTACAGGCAACTTTACACAATTGTAAAATAATTGCTAATTGATCAAATTGAAAGTTGAATAGATCTTCAAAAAAAATATTCTTTTGAATGTGCATCTTTACAATTTAGTTGTAAAATTGTCTCCATGACTTTTTTTGTTTCTCACATGGAGTCAAAACTCAGCTTTATCAACATTGTATTTATACTGTTAAACCATTACAAATTCTTTGTAGTGGTGAGAAATAAATGGGGGATTAATCTTGAATAGCAGAAAACAAAGATAAGTTCCTCTCCAAGCTTCCAGCCCTTCTATAATGCTGACTAACTCATGTGAAAATCATTCTAGTTATTGAAAGTTCTGTGGAGTTTGGTTGCTGTAAATCATGCTGATTTATATTCTGAACATCAAGTGGATTTTGGAACTTTATAAAACTAGCATTATGTATTGGGAATTTTTTTTTCATTTTATTCAGCAATTTAAAAATATTACAGTATACATTTTTCACATTCTGTAGCAAATAATATACAGTAATCTTAGTTGAAGATCATATAATTTAAAAAGATAGAAATTCTTTTTGATTGAGTAGCTTTGGAACTTTTAAAAGCCAATTAATTTTTATTTTAAAGTTCAATATATGGATTTATGTGATTTCTGTGTTATAAATAAATACAGACTACTCCAATCAGCAAGTTGGAACAAGAACTTAGATTCTCAAAGTAGGCTGATAGTTTTCTTCAAAAGAAACATTTTTTTCTCTCCTGTATTTTCCTCTAAAGACAGACAGACAACTGTATATACCCAAATATTTATTCCTGGAACCATGTCTATTTATTTTACTGGTCCTGCCTTATAATTGAATATTTCCTATTTGTAGTTCATAGAGATATTTTCTAAACATACCATATGGCTATTTAATACAAAAAAATGTTATCATTTCATAAATGACCAACTCAGAAGTGGTTGACATTGATTGACATCTATTGGTTAATTAGGTTGTTGCTAAAGAGACTCTACAAGTGTCCAAAATTGTTTTTTTTTACTGACCAATGTTAAAGACAATCTTGGGAGGTATGGGTGTCAAGAGTTGAGCAAAATTCACAATTGTAAACACTGATCTATAATAGTTTTATTTTTAAATAATAGATACAGCTATACATAGTAAGCTTGGACTATGTAATCAAATGTTTTTGTGTGAATCATAGTTGCTAAGATTGTTAGTTATTTAGAAGGTCTCTTAAAAAGGTATCTGGTGGGTCTTTTGCTTTTTATCTCCAGAACCTATGGGTACTCTTTCTTTCTGCTGACATGATTCACTAGTACTTGAAATCTTTGGACTTGTGGAACTGATAAAATTAACGATATTAACTGCATGCAAAGTATATGATTGATAAGTACTAACACTCAGTTTTTATCATTCTTTTTATTCCATGCGCCATCTTTCATTCCTTCTCCTATATTGTACACTTGAAATTAAATCCATAATGTGAAATTCGCTTCATTTCCATACAATCCTTATGCCATTTGTGAAATGCTGCTGCCCCTTTGGTTTTTCCTGGCCCTTGTGCACCTATACGCGGACTGGCTCTCTCGCGCTCCTGCAGACCCAGCCCTCACTCTTCCTATCTCCTTCAACAAACTTACACAGGCACAAACATGGGACAACTCTAGCTACAGTGTTCCATCTGAAGGAGACAGTGACAATGGTAGGTGGCTTTCTACCTATTCTTCAATGTGCTTATTAATAAGCCAATTAATATACTGAACATTCATTTCTGTGCAGCTGAGGGTAGACCTACAGTCACTTGCATGCCTGATATAAGAGAAAATGAGTGGTAAACCTGGGAAGTGAAATCCAGAGAAGTGCATGTGTATTGGTCTCTAGCAGTTTTTCAAAATACTTTTAATTATTTGGAATATTGTGGACTTGGGGAGGACTTTACAATAATTTCTTTTCTATTTGTAATCGCTTGGGTTTTTTGGCTTGTTTGCTTGTTTACAAAAATCTGGGTTTGCACATTTGGATTATTTCTGCTTGTCTCCTGCATCTGAGCTAAATGCTTTTAGAGTTTGATCTTTTATTATCTGTGCTTACCGTATGAGATATTTAAGGTAATTAAGATATGCTGTGGCTGACCCTAGAGTGGTGTGCTGAAAATAAGGTTAACACTGAAAAATTTCTAAAAATGAAGAGAAATCACTTGCCTTCTCCTTTTTTTGTCTTTTTTCTTTTTGGTTTTGCAAATTACTTGCACATTTTGACTTTTGATACCTTCTACGTTTTTGAGTATTAAGTTCATCTATATATTAATAATATTCAAGAATAGCAACTTGACCTAAGAATCAAATGTGCAAATAAAAAACTGAGGATAGCTAGTTGGGATTAATGTTGATAGCTCTTAATTTCATGCTATTAAATATTTCAAATAGCCTTAGAGATTAAAATAAAATAGATATAATGATTTAGATCTACATACCACGTATATATCTGAATCTCCATTCTAGTCTAAGCTAGTTCATATTTTGAACATTTTACTTCAAGATCCAAAGTGATAAAAGTAATAAATGAAATGGAGAGTGTGATTTACAGGAAAGAGAAGTGAGATGTGAGGTATCACCACAATACAACAATAGGAAGACATATTTCCCAACAATACTGTTATTATCTAAGTATGTTTGGAATATGTAATACATAAAAAAATATATTTAAAACATAAAACATTTGCTTTGATTGCTGGTAAAAATTCAATCAAAAATGCTTTTCCAGTTTCCTTAGGTAGAAGGATGTATATGTCTTGGCACGTTAGTTATAAAATAAATTTTATTATTTCATATATTTCTAAATTTTTTAACTGAAAATAAATATTATTAAACAACAACAAAACAAAAGTCTCTCATATCATTCTGTTTTAAATTCTGGAAGTTAAGGAGGGCTAAATGGAAACTTTCTTGATAAAATGTTCCTTTACTTAAAACTAAAACAAACGGGGAGAGAGGCATTTTTATTTTTCAGAAAGCATGGCTATTTGTGGGTCTGATGTTATTTAAAGGAAATAAAGCCTAGAATGAAAGATTTATCTGTGATTTGGTATTTCCTTAGGAGTGATATCTGAAACTAAAGGACTTTTTTTGTTGTTGTTGTGTTGAAGCTGGGAAAGGTCTAGACATCTTATGTAGCAGTAGAATGTCTGTCCTTTTAGATAAACCAACTAAAACTAGAAAGATGAAATGGCCTGTTGGGTCGCATTGCTAGTAGACGTGGAGGCAGGGCCATGGCCCCGGGGTCCTCGCTGTCTACCTATTCATTCTACAGCTGTATTAAGGCCTCTCTGTGCAAGTTACTAAGCCAAACTGCCTTGTTTTTATTAACAATCTTAAGAATTCCATAGAAAATAATCATGGTGAAAATCTTTCTGAAAATAAAATAACCTTGCAATACTTATTTGGTATTTTTTGTATGAGTAAAAATGCCAGGGATTCACGTGTAGCTATTTTGCTGTACCACAGTAATAACAAAGGGATTATTTTCAATATTGATGTGGCCCAGTCAGTCGCATCAGATATTTGATGGCTGTCATTTATGCCTATTTGTAATTTGCCTATAATATGCCCTGGGCAACAGATAATTTTTTGTGCAGAAATCATTTTTATAAACATTTGTACAGGCTCTCAGATCTGATCTTTTATATGCATCTTTATTCTTTTTGTGTCACATTTTGCCTTTTGATGTGAATGCATTTTCGAGTACATTTTTAAAATTAGTGAAGCTGAGTTATATGTGTCCACAAGTATATAAGCTAATGTTGCAAGAAGAATAAGAATAGCCTACTTTTTGTTTTTCTTATTGGTTCCTCTGAAGTAGGAGATCCTACTCAGTGGCCTCTCTTGGCATTTCAAAGCTGACTACCACATCAGTTTTGTTTCCTCATATTTTCTCCATTACCTATGTCCGCAGCTATCTCAACTTTCACCAAATAAATGGCATCTTATTACCAACTCAACCCACTGTAATGTAACTTGCCCTTCATTTATATTGTTTAGTTATTGTTTTTGGTAAAGTTGCCATTTTTATACTTTGTTTGCTGTCTTTCTTTGTATTAAAATTCCCTTTATTTAAATGCCAATATTCCCAAATACAGAGGGTGCCAAAAAAGAAATGTATACACATTTTAAGAAAGGGGGAAAAAACTGTATTAAAATTGTATTACTCAATATATACCGATAACAAAAGATGAGTACAAGTCCTTTGTATATATTTTTTGGCACCCCCACATATCTCATTTTAAACCCTCTATTTTGTCTATAAAACTCATTCTCCAAAGAAATTAAAAAATGGCAAATTGGCTAGAAGGTCCTTGGGTGTTTGAATTCCCACATCCCGAAGTTCCGTAAGATAGATGGAGGAGGATGTGGAACTGTGTGTGTAGGTTTGTCCACTCCTGAGACTCGATGGGGGCAGTTTTACTTCAAGTTATTCTTAACTTGAAAACTCCACTTCTGCTCTCTGTCTTGTGACCTTTGCTATTCTGCATCTTTCTTTGTGTTTCCCATTCGGTTTGAAGTTAAACTGATCCTGTCTTCTTTTGAACCATTTTCCCTTTTTCATTTTCAGTGAATTGGTGGGTGCTAATTTATATGTATTTAAACTTGATCTTTAAACTATCACTGGAGAATGAATGGATGGATATATCCACCTTGGGCAAGTTTGCAGACATTTTCTTGAATATTTTACCATAATCTTGCACTAGGTATTATTTTCCTCATTATAAAAATGAGGAAACTGAGGCCATGATAAGTGTTTGAGTTTTTCCTAAGCCTGGGCGTCATATTAAATCACCTGGGCATTTTAAAACTATAGTGTCTATGCCACACACTCAAATATGTTAATTTATTTGGTGTCACATAGAATTCATGCACTGATTAATTTTTTACTGATCTTTACGTGATGTCCAAGTAGGTGAAAAACATTGGATTAAATGAATTGCCCAAGACCTTAGAGAGTAAATTTGAGCATTTTGAGGGCAGAGAAAACATCTAACCCATTTGGGAGTACCAGAAGGGAATAAATGAAGACACATATCAAATTTCTAATTCAATTAGCCTGGATCTAGAGCTTATGGTCTTTTTTCAAAGCCACCATTTTGCTGCCCTTAAATTTGTATTTATTAAACATCACACCCAATCCAGATTCTTAACTTCCAAGAAAAAAATGAGAGCCAAGTTTCAAAACCTCATGTGTCCACAGAGAAGAAATAACTTCTTGAGTTAAATTTAAGTAATATAGTTTATTACTATAAATCAATAATTTCTATACGAAGAGTACATTTCATGTAATAATTAAATAAGTAGCATTTCAGGCAATTTTTAGAGCAGTGGGACTTTCTTTGCTTAACTAAAAGATATTCTTATAACCATTAGAGAAATGGTTTCTTCTTCACATCCTTAAATATCTATTGAATGTCTGCTATGTGCTAGGCATGATCCTTGTTACTATGGATACAACTCTGAAAAAGACAAACAAGATCTCTGCTTTTATGGAACTTTTATTTCAGAGTCAAATGCATTCACATCTGGGAACTAAATTGTAGGAGATTTTCATCATGAGATGAAAAATTTGGATGATTTTATCAGGGTAGGATAATCTCTACAAAAATACTCTCCAAATAGACGGATCTCTGAATGAGGGAGTTTTTGAAACACTTGTTACACGTATTCATCCAATAAACTGCTTTGTGTGGCAGAGTAGAGGGACAAATTGGAAACAGACACAAACTCTTACAGAGTTAAAATGGAGAGAAACAGATCTATACTGTAAGACGGAAAGTGACGAGTGCCATGAAAGAGACACGAGTAAAGAATTTTGTACTTTCACAGGAGGCAGACCACTCCCAGGTCAGGGGTGAGGATGAGGAGAAGCGTGAAGGAGAAGGTAGAGATAGTGAAACAATTGGTGGAATTTGAGCTGTACCTGCAAGGATGAAGTTCATATTCTGCATAAGCATATTTATCATTCCCTGCAGGGTCTTTGCTTAGAAATTTTTCTCTTCTACTGAATAAATTACAAATATGAGCAAATCATCTTTTCATTTTTTTTTCCTGCATCTTCAATCAGCCACCACTTTCCCTTCCCACTTCGTAGACACGTATATGCAGAAAAAAATGAGTCCTGCTTAACTGCTTAATTGTTATCTGGCAAATAACATTCAAAGAATGAAAAGATGATTGATGATGAATGTGCTTATGCAGAATATCAACTTCATCCTTGCAGGCACAGATCCAATTCCACCAATTTTTGAAATTTAGTGATATGAAATTAAAGAAAATCAGAATAATTCTTCCATAGAGAAGCTTTGACCCAGGCAGGTCACCACATTCATTATTTAAATGTGACATGAAAGAAAAAACTAGGTAATATAATCAGAGCTACCATAATGGTTTCATTGAAATTATTCTGTCATAACAAACCCATCAAAATAAGCAAGCACTTATGTGCTCTGTAGATTTATTATTAGCCTAAAGAGTTTATTTTAAATTCTCATAAATTTCAGAGTAGTTAATCCATTCAGAAAACTAGTAGTAGTATAGTCACGGCTCCCAATAATTTTATGTATATTTGAAGTGTTCATTTAAAAAAACACAGTTCAAATGTGTTTTAACACTTTGTGATTAATTAACATCATAGAACAAAAATACCCAAGCATGGATTTTGTGTTTTTAAGGTGCACAGGAATTTAAAATGAAAAGTGATGCCAGGAAATTAAAACCCAAACACCATGTATTATCTTATTATCTCACATAGGGCTCTAACAAGGTGTTGATATTTGAATTGTGTGCTGTTAAACAAAAGCTCGCTCTTAATTTAACTTCCTGATAGTTTTGTATTCAGGATGAAATCTGCCAATGAAAACATATTGAAAAATATTAAACATGCAGTATTAGATAAGATTGCCCCCAGGAAAAAAAAAAAAGACAAAGGAAAATAAAACCTCCAAAGAAAACATTAGATTTGTTTAAACAATGTAGGGTCGCCCCTTGCTGGCTAGTGTGTGTATTACTCAACTCTGTCCACATTCCTTGACTTTTTTGGTAAATTTGGTTGACTTTTCTTTGAGGGTGTGGGTCAGTTCTAGATTTTACATTTTAATGTACATCTTTTTTTGTTGCTGTGTTTAAATGGGTAAATATTTTTGTTGGGATTGATATGGTGTACAGGCAAGTTTAATGCATTTCCAATTTCTTCTATGCTTCCTAGTTTGTTAGACTTTTCCTCATTTCCCTTTGCTCTGTGAATTTCTCATGTCTCCCTGCTTGATGACTTGGCCCTTCTTCCTTTGTCGGTCTTGCCTTTATTTGTAAAAACTTGGTCTCACTTCCTGTGAGGTTTGGTTTTCATTGGTGAAGTGACTTTGACTCTTTTTGTCTGTGACTTCCTTGGGTGGTTTGAGGCAGAGGCCCAGGCGCCAGGCTGACTCCTCTGAGGTTCCAGAAGATGTTACGTACATTTGATCATCTTTCTCCATTAACTCTAAGTCAAGGGCTTATTAAAATGTTTCAACTTTCTGTCTTCCATAGAGCATCAGAATGCCGATTCAAATGTCCTAGAACTGATTTAGAAAGAAAACACTGAGACATGCGAAGTGTAATGCAAGTCATTTATTGAGGTGTTTGGTCCAAAGATGCAAATTGAGAATAAATGGCATAGTTGGGCGATCATGGAATAGTTGATTATATGGAGTAGACTCAAGTGTTCTTCTTTGAAGTATATTTGTAAACCACATTTAACCTAAAAAAAAACTAATAAGTTGAAATAGCCCTTAAAGTGGCCCGTAGGAAATGTTTGTCCGAATAGAATAAAAATTGCATAACCTTCTTATTCTACATTATTTAAATTATGGTGGATGGAATTTCTAGAGTTGCATGATGCCAATACAACCTTCTACCTCGTATTGATTTTCAAAATTGGAGTTCTCTGCCCAAAATTTTCTGAAAAGCCCTCCCTCTCACCCCCATTCTCTCTTTCCCAAACACACATACAGAGTCTGACTGGGGAACCGAATACAGCTCTTTGCCCCCACTTGTGCCCATGGAAAGGTGACAGTCTTAATAGGATAAAAATCTCAAGGAAGAAAAACAATTCAAGTTTAAATCTGCCCTGGGCTTTGTACTGTAATCAAACTTGATTTTAAAAACAAACAAAAACCTTTCTGTATTCTGTAGTCACTCTGCCATATGTAGGATATTTTGTACCCTCTTTATTAGTCTTTAAAAGATGTTATCCTGAGCCAGCCAAGTGGTGCGTTGGCTAAGTGCTGGCTTGGGATGCCAGCTCTGAGCAGCAGGGCCCCGGTTCAGATCCCACACGAGGGCCAGTGACACTGCCCTCTATAGCTAAGATGGTGAACAACAGCTCGACCTGGAGCTGGCTACCTTGAGTCGCCAGCGACGGCGTAGGCTGCAGTGAGGCTGCAGTGGGCTGCCGTGAGCTACCGTGAGTGGCCAGCAGCCGGTGTGAACTGCCAAGAGCCGCCGTGAGTGGCTGTCCAGTGGCCAGCAACTGATCTGCCTCACCCAGGAAGAGCGCAATGATGGTGCCAGCTTGGGCCAGTGAAGCGACGTCCTCTACAACTAGACTGAAGAACAAAAGGATAGCAACTTGTCTGTTCCCCTTCCCCAATTCTCCAATGCTGTTCCCTTCCCCCAATTTCCCAATAAAATCTTTAAAAAAAATTAAAAATAAATAAAAGATGTTATCCTCCTGAGGTTAGAGCACACCTTATCTCTGGAGCCAGTGGCTTAACCCCTTTCAGAGAGAGCACCACTGTTAGTTGCTATTTTTGGAGGTTGTAATTTTAAGGACCTGAAGCCAAGGATGATCTCTTAAACTGCCTCTAATCTTGCCTGCTTTTCTAAAAGGCGTCTCTGGTCATCTCTAAAGAACTAACTTTTAGGATACACTGTCAGTGACACGATAGGAGGCAGAATTTTTCCACGCCACACTCAAATATGTACTGGATCATCCTTAGTTCTTAACCCAAACTTAGGAAAAATTTTAGCCAACTGAACAATAACCTGTGCTTATTTTAAACATTTAAAGTAATTCCAGAGATTTCTTATTTGAAACAAATTCTCTGAATTGAATGAATGAATTGTGAAACCTCAAGTATAAATGAAAATGTAGAAGGAAAGCATTGGAAAAAATGAGAGAGGAGGGACATCTTTCAGAGACGTGGCTTGGAATGGTTCCAAGGATGACCCAAACTCTTCCCTGAATTCAGTTGATCATCACCAAAAAATACAGCTTTTGCTAGTCCACACAACCCAGTATAATTATAAAATATAATCTTCAGAATATTTGAATCACGCTTTACACATGAAGTCATGCCTTAACCATTGTTTCTGTGAGTGGTGAATGAATGATTTGGGATAAATAAAGGAACTTTGTTTAATTTAAATATGAATAGTCTCATGGCGCCTATACTAGATACTCCATAAAGGCTTTTTCCCCTTTCTATTATAGTGTTCCTCAGACCTCAGAGAAATTTGGAATCTATAGACCCACAGTTTACAATTCGGAGGAAAATGGAACAGATGAGAGAAGAAAAAGAACTGGTGGAACAACTCCGTGAGGTACCCAAGACATGTTATATAATTGAGTAATCATTTTCAGAATTGAAGCAGGGTTCTATACAGTTGACTCTTGAACAACATGGGTGTTGGGACACCATCGCCTCCCCCCTGCTCAGTCAAAAATCCAAGTTTAACTTTTGACTCCCCTAAAACTTAACTACTAATAGTTTATTGACCAGAAGCGTTACCGATAACATAAACAGATTAACACATATTTTGTATGTTGTATGTATTATATACTTTATTCTTACAACAAAGTAAACTAGAGAAAAGAAAATGTTAAGAAAACCATAAGGAAGAGAAAATACATTTATAGTACTGTACATATTTACTGAAAAAAATCCACAAATAAGTGTGGACCTGCACAGTTCAAACCCATGTTGATCAAGGCTCAACTGTATTTTTTTAAAAATCGACTTTGAAGCACTGCAAACACACATAGTTTTAAATCTAGCCAGGTTGCCTACTGACTGTGTGATATTGGACAAGTCACTTAATATCGCCGAGTGTCAGTTTTTTCATGTAGTTCCAATCTGCCTTAGTGGGGTTTTGTGAGGTGTATATGAGATAATGTAAGTAGAACTACTTAATACATATGTGTAAAGCTAGTATTATTTCAATTCAGATATACCTTAAAATAATGCACTGTTATTCATTTACTTAATAATAATATCCCATTAATTTAAAGATATTCAGAGTCATCCTCACTTTTGTATCCCAAACTGGTCAAAATTTTTTAATCAAGCATTTAATAGCAAAACTATTTGAGTTCCTAAAGAACAAGCATTTAATAGCAAAACTATTTGAGTTCCTAAAGAATAAAAGTCTTGTGCTGGGTGCCATTGAAGAGTTTAAGCTTGGTGATGGCAGGCACCATGGCTAATGTTTGACCACTTTTTTGCCTCAGAAAACATAGGGAAAAGAAAAAGATGTATTTGTCCTCTCTTTTAAATCTGCCTCTAGCTACCTTAGGTTGTCCTATACTTCAATATGAAACTTTCCACTATTTTTTACAAATCTGATCCAAACTGCTGTAATGTTGTTGGAGCCAAGTTCTCATTTCATAATTTTTCCCAAATTACAGAAGAAAAACTGACTCAGCCTCTTAATTTGAATATATATTTATCAATTTATAAGGCATAAGAGGACACTATGAATCATGTATCTATACATATTTGTATATTTTATGAATTCTTCAGGAAAAATGCTGCATTCTTTCAGAAATCCTTTGGTTGTCACTTTTTTTTTCTTTTTTAAATACATTTTTAATTGAAAATATAATGGGAATAATCCTGATTGGAGAAAATGGAGAGATGCGAAATAAAAATAAGTAGTCTTAAACCACCGCTCAAAGACAATTGCTGTTAACCTTTTGGCTTCTACTAGCATTCTTTCTACATTTAAGTTGTTTCTGAGTTGTGAGCATCTCATATATAGTCGTGCGCTGCTTAACGATAGAGATGCGTTCTGAAAAAGGTATTGTCAGGCAATCTCGTCCTTGTGCGAGCATCACAGAGTGCACTTGCACACACCTAGATGGTGTAGCCTGCTTCAAGCCTAGGCTTTATTGTGTGCCTCTGTCGCATATGCGATGTATCGTTGACCCCACCGCCCTGATTCCTTCACAGAGCATCGAGATGAGGCTCAAGGTCAGCCTGCATGAGGACCTGGGGGCTGCGCTCATGGATGGGGTTGTCCTCTGCCATCTGGTCAATCACATCCGCCCGCGATCTGTCGCAAGCATCCATGTCCCCTCGCCAGCCGTTGTAAGTAATACCATATAAAGGGAAGCTAACTTTTCCATAAGACAAACTCTTTGGGGACAGTCCTGCTGGTTAAAAATGCTGATGGGGTTCCCAGGACCCTGCTCAAATCCTCTCTGTTGAGCCCCAGACCACTAGAAGAGCAAAAAAGGAATAGGTCTGAAGGAAGGAACATTTTCACTGTAAAAAAGGGAGAATATTTAAAATAAATATGTAAATGACAGAAAAGGAACTTATTTCCAATATAAAGCAAATCACATTCAAGAAATTACTGGTTGGCATGCTAACTTTAAGACTTTACCGACGGACGTAGACTCATTTCCTACCAAGGCTTATTTAAACAGTGAGAAGTCTTTGGGAGAGTGTCATTTGTTTGGTAGCTTCTCCTTTAAATGGAATCTCTTTCCTTTATATTAGTCATTGGGGATTTTAGGATGGCTCTGAAAAGATGTGGATTCTATGTAAAAGATCATTAGTAACCTGCCAAGCCAGAGGTTGCTTGACCAGTCGTTACTTCAGCAATTCCTTGATCATTCACTATGCTCAAGGGTACATTGGAAGTACTGGGGGGACAGTGGGAAAGGTGTGAACATGAGTGAGACACCATTAATGCCCTCAAAATCCTTGGCTCCTCTGTAGGGGAGATAAAGCTGGCATGTGAAATCCTCTTCCTGTAGATCTCAAAGCATGTTACCATCCAGAAGAGACCTCCAGAGTCAGTTGTATGGTCAGTCAGATGAGGGTGTGAGAATTAAGGGTAAGCTTATCTTTGAAGCCTCCGTAGGCTTCAGACAAGTAGAGAAGAAAGGAGAATTTCTACCCACATTGCTGTTCTTTAGGTGAGGCAGGAAGTGTAGGTGCTAAGAACATAAGGTTTGGATTCAAATTCCAGATTGACTTACATGCATACATCTTTGCATAAGTTATTTAACCTGTCTTTAACTCAGTTTGCTCTTCCCTAGCATGGAAGTGTTCTTGTGAGGATGACATGAGGGACTACATATGATACATACATGAATGTGTGCCATGATTATCATTAGTGTTTATATCATATTTTCACAATTCAGAGCCCCTAATCTCAAGGCGTGATATTCATAAGAGGACCATGTGAGAAGTGAATTAGGGGAAAGCCCTTGGGAAGTGCATTTGCACCCTCCTTTGCCCTCCAGGAATGCCTCACACTGGCATTATTCTGATGTCTTTTCTATTTTCTTAGCTGATGATCCCATTTCAGCTATCGGTTTCCTTTCTATACTATTGGACATCTTTTTTGTTTGAAAAGTTTGATCACTTTTTGTGTCAGAACACATAGGGGAAGAAAAGATCTGTTTGTCTTCTCTTTCAAATGTGCTTCTAGCTGCCCTAGGTTGGACAGTAAATTCTGTCCTGTAATTCAATATCAAACTTTCCAGTATATTTTTACAGATGGGATTCAAATTACCATAATGTTGTCTGAGCTGTGTGCCAAATTCTCATTTAATAATTTTTCCCAAATTATAAGAGAGAAACTATGACTCCTCGGCCTCCATTTTAAGTGTACAGTTACCATTTTACAAAGTGTAAGAGGACATTATGAATCATGAATCTATATACATTTGTATATTTATTCTTCAGGAAAAAAGTGCTACATTTTGTCAGGAATTCTTTGGCTTTTACCTTTATTCTTCTTTAAATTAAATTTTTTTAATTGATAATATAACGAGAAATAATGCCCAATTGGAGAAAAAGAGGAAATACAGAAATGCAAGAAAAATAAATCATCTTTTATCCCACTGCCCAAAGATAATCATTGTTAACATTTTGGGTACTATACAACTAGTATTCTTTCTACATTTGAGTTTTTGGTTTTTTTAAAGGGTTTTGTTGGGGAATTGGGGGAAGGGTAACAGACAAGTTGCTGTCCTTTTGTTCTTCAGTGTAGTTGTGGAGGACCTTGCTTCACTGGCCCAAGTTGACACCATCATTGCGCTCTTCCCAGGTGAGGTAGATCAGTCGCCGGCATCTGGACAGCTGCTCACGGTGGCTGCTGGCCGCTCACGCTGGCTGCTGGCTACACACAGTAGCCCATGGCAACCCACTGTCACAGGGGCTGCAGCCTAGCCGTCGCCGGCGACTCATGGCAGCCCAGCTCCAGGTTGAGCTGTTGTTCAGCATCTTAGCTGTGGAGGGCGGTGTCACTGGCCCTCATGTGGGATCCGAACCGGGGCCCTCTGGCGTCCCAAGCCAGCTCTTAACCAACGCGCCACTCGGCCGGCCCTTGAGTTGTTTTTGAATTGTGAGCATCATATGTATGTATGTGTGTGTGTGTGTGTGTGTGTGTGTGTGTGTATACACACACACACACACACACAGACGTGTATATATCACACATACACACACACATATATATAATTTAGTAGTTTTTAAAATTTATTAAAGCTTAACTATTTCCCCATGTCACTAAAATTCTTCATAAATATCCATTTTAATAATTATAACATATTTTAGCATGTTATTATACTGTAGTTTTCCTTTTTAGAAATGCAAGCTGCTGCTAAATGTCCACTTTTCAAAAATTCTTCAGTGAGCATCTTAAAGCCTCTTTGACCAGGCCCAGCCACACTGTGGCCGTGGCACCTGCTTCCTGTCCCCAGCCTGTGATGCCACTCTCCACTCCAGTGTTCGCACAGGCTGCTCTCTCTAAACGAGGAGGCTGCTCTCCCCCGAATCTCCTCATCTACAGCATCACTAGCTCTCGTTCCTTCACCGCTTCAATGTTGACATAACTTTCTTGACCACTTAAGATTGAGTTAGTCTGTTTCTTTTTTTCCTCCTTATAACAATCTCCCCACAACTAAGACCTATATCATACTATACTATAATTTCCTTGAACTTGTTAATATTTTTAACTAGGCTTGTTAAGATTGCCAAGTAAACTGGAACTAAGTGACCCCGAGGATTGCATCTTTCAGTTCCACGGGTGCATCCTTAGCACCAATTAGAGCGTCTGACACATACATAGTAAACAGTTAACTGAATAAGATCCTATTTGCACCGTCAGCCATGGATGGGAGTACTTTTTCTACCCATGTGATTGCCGACATTAAGCATTCTAATGTTTCATTCATGAAACCAATACTGTCCATTTTTTATGCCAACCGGAGGAAATATAGTGGTAAACAGGATCACTGTTGTCATTATGCAGTTTCTTAAGATGGGTTTTGTCAGTCTTTGACAATTTGGTGAGCTAAACACTGGCATCCCAGTTCGTGTAATTCATGTATTTTTTGATCCTTTGAATGACGGGGAGGTTGAACCTCTAGCTAGTAGCCAGTACTTCTCTAACTGAAACTGCGCAACAATCTTAGGATGGGCCCTCCCTCACTTCCAAAGGTGAGACATTTTCTTTATGTAGCTTGAAACATACTTTCATGGGCTTTACTGGGCTGACATAAGTATTTTGAATGGTGTTGAGCATCTTTGGAGTTTGAGAACAGACTGCCTAAATTATAAATAGATGAAGGATGATAATAGGCCCAGAGGCTCAGAGAGACAAATGCTGGCATCTCCTTATTGGTTCCGTGTGTACTAGACCAGGACGTGTTCTCCTGATATCCCCATGTCACGTTACCCATTTCCTTCTCCCTGCAGGAGGCTGAATGGGGGAGTTTTGTCCTAAGACATGCCAGGTGGGCAGCTTCTTACCCCGTCTTTGCAGGCCTCGTGTTGAGGGGCACCATTTCCTCTCCAGCCAACATGGAGAATGTTTAGCCTCCAAACTAAATTATTCCACATGGAAGCAGGCTTTCTTTCCTTTAGTCGGGGGCGGAGGGAATGGGGACAAGAAAAGAAGTCTCTTTTATCAATAAATCCTGTCTAAATTTAGTATTATGATGATTGGTGTGGGTCCCTACATGATGGAATGACTTACTTCGCTCTCACTTGCTATTCACAGGGTAAGGTCAGTCTTTATAAAACATTGCCCCTACACCTACACTGTTGGAGTCAGTCGTGCTTCTTGCCTCCCTTTTTAAAAGAACTAATAGTGGAATATTAAAATTTAGCAGTAAAGCTTTTAAAACTTACCATGTGAAAATTGTGTGACTCAGACGCACCTGTTACCTATCCCATACCTTGAAGGTCACCTAGCAGGATCAAGTCCATTGTGAGAGGCCCTTGCTTAACTCCATAACATCACCTTGTTTAGTGCTGTTTACCTTGATGTTGCCTCTTTCTAATTAGTAAATCCATTGCTTTAATGGGAAGGAGATTAATTGGCCTGGTGAATTTAACCCTTCAGATAGAAATATATTTGCTGATGGGAAAAGGTGATGCTTATGGTGTACTTTTAGGTGGTAAATTAGGTTACACTAGAGTATGATCCATAAAAACTGTGTGTATGTATGTATATGTGTGTGTATATATACAGATTTATATATACTCATATGTATATACAGACACATACATACATATATGCAGAAATTCTGCATATAGACATGTATCGATGTACATACATAGGTAAATATGTATGTCTTTGTATACACAAATATGTGCACACAACATCTGCAAAAATATAATCTAAAATATTAATAGTTCTTTTCTCTAGGTGGACACCTCTGGATAAGTTTTTATTGTCTTCTATTTACTTATATATTTTTTTCTCCAGTAAACATGTATTACTTTTGCCATTTAGAAAGTGTAAAATTTAAGATGTTATTAAAATTATTTTTCTTTTAATAATTCATTATTTCTGCATATTTGCATTTATAGCCCAAGCTTAGCATGGCCAAATGCAGAAGAAATGTGGAAAACTTTTTGGAAGCATGCCGAAAATTAGGAGTACCAGAGGTAACATCAAATTTGCCCAAATAACCATGTTTTGGTAAAGATTTTATTTAATAAATGTATTTGAATCCACTGAATAGATGTATAGCTTTGTACATCCTTTTTAATCTCAGTCTTCCTTGAGGAATAATGTTAAGTAAGTTATATAACATTTTAGTTTAAATTGCTTTATTGTGATGAAATAAAAATGGCTTAAAGCAGTATGGTCAATTCTGAGGCAAACCATTTCTTTAAGGTTTTGAAATAACTGTGTAATTCCAAACTTGAAAAACAAATTAAGCAGCTTGATACCCTACTCCAAGAGCAGAAATTGCTGAGGCTTCATTGACCCCCTTCTTTTAGGTTCCATAGGGTAGAATTTTGGAGCTGATGGTTTTCCTTATCCAAATTCTTAAGCGAAGCAGATCTGTAGTTTGCAACTTATTTGCTGATTTTCACTCCCTGTAATAGCATTTTGGGTATGTGGATCAAAATAATCGGCATTGAAAATATTAATTATTGTTATTATTAATCATTACCATTAATAATAATAATGTTTGTGTGTTACTTTATGGTTTGTTATCTGTTTGCACTTACATTTTCCCCTTTAGTCTGCTTTAGACGCATTGGCAAGTTCCGATAGCCAGCCCAGCTCTAGTTTGCTACTTTTTTGGGTGCAAGCTAAGCCCCAGCCTCAGCCAATTTGGGGCTTTTAAAGACTTTGCTATTAGTTACATAAGATGGTTTCTTAGGGAGACAAAAGCCAGTCCACTCAGAATTTGTGGGTAAGTTGAAAAGTTTATCATTATTATGATAAAGAGAAATAAACAAATTCTATTTCTTGCAATTTCTTCCATTTTTCTAATGTTCCAGGGATAAAGTAACTACAGACTCTATCATGAGATACTGTTTTTGAATATGTGAAGGAATTACTTTTCAATGATAGGGGTTAGTCCTTCCTTTTCTCCTTCCTTCCTTCATCTTCCTGTTTTTTAGTTTGGTGAAGTTCAAAGGTGAGGGATTAGTGGTGGGCTTCTAATCTCATTTGAGCAAAAAGGAATTATTAAAGCATCTTTAAGTCAGAGTTATAATATCAATAATAAGAGTACATGTTCATTTATTAAAAGAGTGTAATCTATACATATGGACTAAATGTCTTTGTGATCAGTTCAAATGTCTTTCAACAATGTTAACTTCTGTATCTCTATAATATGTGTACATTTTAATATTTCATATACATTCTTGGCTTCCAATATTTGTGAAATTTCTTATACCCATAGCTTTTTAAAAATAATTTGATTCTGTCATTGGTGAATAAGTTTTCCCATGTGTGAATCAAAACTGTCATACCAAGTCAGATGGTAAATTATTCACGTCTGTGCTAGAAAGCATTAATGAGTTATGATGTAATCCCCTGTGCTATTTTAAATTCATGAAAGTTTTTTTGGCTTATGGTAATACAACATGAAATGGAAATGTACTTTGCCATTTATTGTGAGTAAAGATTGGTAATTACGATTTCCTTTTAAGGTGGGCAAAAGGAAATTCAATTATCATAAATGTGCAGAGAAAAATTTATTATAATTTCTGACTTATGCCCCTAGCACTAATAGGCAACTTACAATTCCTGAGAAGGTTGAATTACAAGGAGTAAATGACCTTTTTTGCCAATATCCCTCTTAACTATGCTTAGTAAGAAATATATCACTTAGGCTATTTTGAAATTGTTTTTAAGATTTGAGATGATTTTCAAGTTTACACTGTATATATGTGCATCGTGTGTGTGTGTGTGTGTCTGTGTGTGTTTACATACGAGTATCTATCCATCCTGATGGATAATCCAATTGCATTTTACTGATGACTTGAGTTATTACATTAAATTCATTGCTACTAGAAAAAGCGTGCTGGTTAGTTTTAGTTAGAGTTGAACTTCTTTAACAAGATATGTTTAAAAAGGAAGGAATATTCTAGTGGAAAACCAGAAATTGCCATTTGGAAGGCAATTGGCAGTCTCCCTGTACACTTCATCTCTCACAGAATGGATGAGGAATAACTTGTTGGAAATGAGGAAATTTTCATCTAGGAATACGATACTAAGTTAGGGGAAGGGTAAAATAACTCCTGCCCACTTAGATAGTTACATTTCTTTCACCACTTAAGAGGGTTGATGCTTTGAGGGTATACGTGGCACACTACATTTATTGATGATGTACACGGAAAATATATCACAAATCTAGTTGCAGAAATTTTCCACTTAGAATCAGACATTTAAAAAGACTGATACATAAAAAACAGAGGACCTGTAACATTACATTTCCTTATTTGCATTATATTTAATATTTGGGTAACAAAACAGTCACTGATTTCCCAGTAGCAAACGGTTAATTCCTCGTCGTTCGTGAGCTTTTCCTGCTTTCGTCTCTATCCATAACTTATCTACACACATCCACCCATAAGTCATAGAGATCTTGAATTCCGTCTTTTTTTAAGCTAAATATCTAATTGACAATAATACATCATCCTGTAGAGACTGAAAAATCACAGCTGTGCTCTAGGCCTGGACTTTTTGCCCTTTGTAATAGAATCACAGTTTGAAACTATAAGCCAAAGTCAGGGTTAGCAGCTTATATAATTGTTCATATGGGTGGAATGTGGTTGCTGAGCAGCTTTAGTTAAATTATTACATATAAAGTAATTCAATGGGATGGAAGCAATTTTAAAATTGTTTCAGTTGTTATAGTTTATTGTATTTTCTTTAGAAGTCTCCATGGACGCATTCCAAGGTATCTGCCCCAGGGTTGGTCAAGGTTCATGAGGCATTTTATTATGTGCTTTGGTAGAATGGCTCTGATGTGGCTTACCTATAAATGTGGCATCTTCAAATTAGCTGCATTTGGAATTGCACAGTGGAAGCAGCCCAGTTATTTGCAGAAGGTTAGTGTGTGTAGACAAGTGAGGCAACCCTATACCTCTGTCTGTTAATTGTGACATTTGAGTAAGGCCGGATCTAAATCCTTGAATCTTAGCCCAGGGGCAGGAATCTTAGACAGGATTGGAACATGGACGCTGCTGATGGAAAGGAGGTGACATCCCAGAAAGAAGTCAGTGATGGGATTCCGGACACATGCTGTCAGTGACAGCAGGCATATCTGCCACCAACTGTGAGGGATTCTGGGATGAGGAAGAGGTTTGTTAATGAGAATGCCAAGGAAAGATCATTGAAAAGGACCAGAAATGGTACTCACTGGCAAGTTTCTTTTCTGGTGTAGGCACAATATTTCTTCAGGTGGTTATTTTAGCACAGGTCACTTCCATTCCTGCTGCTCATTCCTTGGGTGTTTTGGTTTTGTGTTTGTTTTTCTGTGTGGGGCCAATTCCCCAACTAAAGGACACAGATTGAATGAATCTAACCTGAAAGGAGATGACTGAGTGAAGAGTATCTGTGAGCCGATGAAGGAATTACAAGGTCTCCGGTGGATTAGCCCTCCCTGTGCTGTTATCTAGTTATATGCCTGAGACAAACACCTTAAAACTAGGAGCAGTTGAACATTTACTGAGAACTTCTCGTACGTACATCGTCTCAGATGCTCACTGTTGACGATCTGAGGTAAATATTTTATTACCATACTGTGAGGAAACCTGAGGCCCAGAGAGGTTAAGTAATTTCCTAAGCTTGTACTCAGCCGGTAAGCGGCAGAGCTGGCGTTTGAACCCAGGTCTGTCAACACTCTTTGTAGCTCACCCAGAGTCTCTCTATGTCTGGGTTCCCTGCTCTGCGCAAGGGGGTGTTGGACTTAAGCAGCAGATTTCAACCACATTCTCCAGAGCCCTTGATTCTTTTGCCTGCATAGAAGGTGAGCGAAAACCACATGCGACGCTAGAGGTCACTCCCACCCCCTCGCTTCAGCCGAGCAGTTTCTCTAGCCCCTGCAGTGTATGTATATTGGATTTCAAGCTAAAGTTTCCTTTCAGGGGAAAAAGTGTCTTATTGCTAAACATACAATAGTTTGAAAATCACTAGACCCCTAAGGTTTCTTTGAGCTCTGATATTCCATGAAAGCAAGTTACATCCACAGTTCCACCATTGCTTCTCCTCCTCATCAGTTGCTTAGCTGCAGGAGAATGACCAGAGTCATGCATCATGGCACCCTGGAAAATCTGGGGGTTGGGTGATGTTGCTGGCACCATCCTATCATCGTCCCTTGTAGTGCTGATGCTGGTGGTCAGATTTTGCAGTTATGTGTGACCTCTGGTGCAAGCTTCAACTTGATGTTGACAACAGGCCTACCTACCACCCTTGGTGGGCTTACAAATTCTTCAGGATATATTCTTTGTTTCGCCCAATAGTCTGACTCCAGTTAAGCCTTGGGGTCAGGGGTCATGGATATACTGAGGATTCCCTTGCCTTTTCTGAGAAAGCTTGACCAGTCCTGGCCTCTGACCTTAATGCAGAGGCTTTATGGTTGGCTTATTGGGAGTTTCCAAATTCATCCATTTTTAGGGCTATTTTATTGGGTTGTTGGAAAAGTCATGACGTATTTTTTCTATGTTTTTCGTTGCAAAAATGCGTCATGACTTTTCCGACAATTCAATAGTATAGTCTCAGGTGGAGAAAAATCTTTAATTTATGAAGCATCAAAAATATTAGAAAGTAGATATTTATTTTGTTCACTAGCAAAATTTTTCTACTTGATTTTAAATAAATAGGTTTAGCCTCAGACCTCTGGGAAAACAAATCCTTAATTTACCAGACTTGCCCTGTTTAGGTGAGGAGGGAACTTAGACTAGAAATGTACTTTGTTTCCTAGCTGCCCAGCCCTTCATATTCACTATTGTTTCAGAGAGAGAAGCGAGAAGAGGGCTAAGGCAGCAAATCTACTGACAGTGGTGGTCACCTTTGGCAGTCCAGGCCCCTTGCGCCTGCCTGGGCAGCACAGAGCCCCGGGGACTTCGCAGTACTGTAGGAGGTGGCAGGTTTTCTTCTACGTCCATAAGGACAGGTCACTTGGTGTTCCTCAGTTTCT